CCCAAAAAAAAATGAATTAAGAAAGAGATTGCTATGGGATGAACTGTGACCCCCCACCCTCCCAATTCATATGCTGAAGTCCTAACCCCCAGCACCTCTGAATGTGACCTTATTTGGAGACGGGGTCTTTACAGAGGGAATCAAGTTCAAATTAGGTCCTGACTGCCTCCTTATATGAAGAGGATATCAGGACATTGAAACACCACAAGGGATGATGCTGTGAAGAGACAGGGAGGAGACGGCCACCTGCAGGCCGAGGAGTGGCTGGACACAGACTTCCCTGCAGCCCTGCTAACACCCTGACTGTGGAGCTATAGCTTCCAGAACTGTGAGGTGATACATTTCTTTTGTTTAAGCTACATGTTTTAAGGTACTTTTTAATGAAAAACAAAAGCAAAGAACAAGTACTAAAAATTATAATTTAAGAAAGCATTCCTGAAAAAACAAAATGATCTGAAATAACACTCAAGGAATACAAACATTGCTCATGGGATCACCAGCCCCCAATAATCAACCCAAGACACATTCTAGTAAAATGACTGAACTTTGAAGAAAGAAGACCCTTTGTCCATCGAAGAGAAAAGGGAGAGAAAATTAGATTATCATCAGGCTTTCCCACAGCGACGCTTCATGCCAAAGAAAAGGGAAAAACATATTTAAGAGACTCAAGGAGAGAAAATATGAGTCAGAATTCAAGTATAAACGGCTCATACTGTTATCAACATGTAAGAATGCAGGGAAGGTCAATCCCAGAAGCCCTTCTTAAAGAATCTATAAGAGAACAAACTTCAGACAACCAAAATGGCTAGAGAGACGTCAACATGTGGATTGAGGGGGAGCTCTAAAGACACATAGATTGAAAAGGAAGAGACTATGGGATGTGTGCTAGGTCATTCATGTCTATGCCCACCCCCTGGGCCCCGTGTCTGTGTTATGTTACAAGGCAAAGGGATCTGAAGATGTGCTTAAGGTTACAGAACTTGAGGTAGAAAAATTATCCTGGATTATCTGGGTGAGACCAATTTTATCATCTGAGCCTTTGTGAGCTGGCTGCCAAAATTCTGTCTTTTGACTGAAGTGACGGTTACCAGGGTGGCTGCCTTGCAATGATTCAATAAGCTGTATATTTATTTTGTGTGGTTTTCTGTATCTATGCTTTATTTTACGGTAAAAGGTTAAAAACAGACAAAAACATCCAAGATCCCTTTGACGGTTGTGTGCAGAATGGATTTTTGTGGGGCATGAAGCTGGAAGACCAGTCAGAAGGC